GCTAAAATAAGTAATAAACAAGTTTTACAGCAACAGTTCGCAGAGTGCTGCTCACTAGTTTAGTTTGAAAAATTTTAAAAATTAACATCTGAAGTTGATAGATGATAGCTCCTTGTACTAACACCTTGTGTTAAAAATTGTTTAGGACCCTTGAAAACACAAATACATGATTTTCTATGTCCATTAAATTTCGCGAGATCAAAGTTCGCGGTTGTTATTTTTCGCGGGTCTTTAACTTCGCGAATTTTTTAAAATCGCGAATTGCAGAACCCGCGAAAATTAAGGAGAATAAGGTAGTTCTAAAATTGTAAAGTGCCAACTACCGAAAAAGTCGCTATCCAGCGGATTAATAATGGTAACTCCAATTGCGGCTTTTAGTTTGTAGAGTTTTTCTTCACCTTTGAAATTTGTCTAGCAGAGTTCTAATAATTCTTTTCTTCTAATGCGTGGTTTGTGCATTAGCTCTAAATAGCGCTGTTGTGAAGGCATTCTGGACCATGCAACGGACTGTGATTGGCCAAAAATCGCGCCTTTAGATTGTGTCAGTCCCATTTGAGACAATTAAAAGAACTGAATCTTGTTCCAGTAAATATGGTTGCACTTTATTTGGTGAGACAGTTCCATTTTTATTATTTTTTTAAAAATAAAGAACACAAGCCACTAAATAAAAATCCACTTTATCGTCAACCGTTACGATTTGCCAATCAAGACGTTTCCTGGTCCAGACACGCTGAAATCGTTGGAGCACTGAATAAAAAAACTCTCACAAGTTACTAACTTAAATATAACATAACCGGCGCATCACTCATAGACTGTGCACTTCAGAAAGTTGTGGTGCGTTAATCAATGTCCCTAAATTACTGAAAATAATAGATGTTTAATTAAAGGTTAATTTAGTGTGTTAGACACCTGGCACGAAACGTCAGCTAAATTAAAGGGCAAGATGCTGTGTTTGTCTTAATGAAGTAATTACTATGTTAACTTTGGCAACTTATATTTAGTACAACCAAACAGATAAAGTGAGAAATAACAAAGAAACAACTATTGAGAGGCATTCTGTCGTGAGAGATTAAACTAAAAAGCCTCGGCATATTTCACTGCATGGCCAAGAAGAACGCATATCTTCCTCCTGAAAAATTTGGAGGGTAGCAATATGTGATTTGGAAAGATGACCAGGCTGTTGTCTTGACGCATGACATACTTCACGGTTATGATACAACTTAGCCGGTAATTGGATCACGTGGATCAAATTCAAAAGGCCCATGCCACACTAATGAAAGGTGAGAATCTTCATAAACACATAGTTCTAACTTCTTAACCTGTAATCTGTTGTTGTGACGCGGACGGGATAAGCCTGGCCTTTTGAGGTGTTTGTTGTCTTGCGACAGCCTGGTAGACGCGCTTATCAGCCCATCGATTGTACGTTTCTAGTACGTTTGAGGAAAGTTTCCAGTAATTAAACCGAGATTTTGAAGTGCTCAGAAGGTAGGAGTGAGGTGCAGCTTCAAATGAGCAGCACTTGCGATAAGTACATGTAATACTAAAATTTAAATCACTGTTTAACGTTAATACACATAAATTATTCAGTTAGGAATTAAAAAATACGTGAAAATGCCAGACAGTTAACGATAGAGCATGTTAAATATAAGTCAGTCGATTTAAATAATAACGTTTTTGCATTTAGAAGAAATAGCAAGTTTAAAACTTGATTTTGTATTGCCATTAGTGTCTTGATATCATTCCAGCTGAATGTCTATTATTTCACTGGGGATAAGTGTAACACTATAAAACCTGTGATGAAATTTCAATGATTTTTTTCTGTATGCTTACCATGAAGCTAAAACAAATGTGTAAATACGCATAAATTTTAGAGGTTGTTATAAACAGCATTTTAGATAAAGAGAG